ATGTTAAATTTTCTGATTTCCGAGAAGTGGGCCCGGGGCTCGGATTTTGCTAATTTCGAGATTTTTGCTATTTTTCGATTGTTTTCGATTGGGTATTGTCCCATTGGCATATTGCGATGTATTCGCTCTGATGTTGGATAGATTCGACGCGTGTGGAGGCCGGTTTGAGGGGCAAAGGCGTCGCGAGCTAGAGATTTCACCGGTTCGAGGTGACTAATAGTTGTAAATGATATCCTAAGGGTTTGAAACCCCGGATTGCACATCGTAGTGCTATATTGAGGTGACTTGCACGCCGGATAGTGGGCGTGGGGTAGAGCACCGCTGGGGATTGTGACTTGCTCCGTCCCAATTGATGAATTTATCGCGTATTTGACTAGAATTTTATTTGTTATCACTGTTGTTTGGGCTTCGTGCCAATTATTTGAATCCTTCGGGGAATATTTTCACTGTTTCCTCACTGTTTCGACTCATTACTTGAACTCAGTCATATTGTTTTCTCCACTATTTTTCAACTCAGCCACTTTTACTCAAATTTGAGTCTTAAATGATATTTTAAATGATAATTTGGGCTGAGGACTACTGTTTTACTAATACCCGAGGGGCTTATGATGATATTCTGACTGAGTGTGGCCGAGGGCCTGATGTGAGGATACACTGAGGGATGTGAGGCCGAGGGCCTGGATGTGAGGATTATTATATGGGTCGGACTGCACACCGCAGTAGTATAATACATGGATCGGACTGCACGCCGCAGTATGTATATATTGGATCGGACTGCACGCCGTAGTGATATAGCGCTTGGGCTGTAGGAGCCCCTCCGGAGTCTGCACCCCCACAGTGAGCGCGGGTACCCATATGGATCGGGCTGCACGCCGCAGCGAGCTATGGATCGGGCTGCACGCCTCAGCGATATGTGGATCGGGCTGCACGCCGCAACGGTTACTATGTGATACTAGTTCTGAGAGTGATCTGTGAGAGAGAGCCCGAGGGGCCGAGAGTGTTGTTGAGAATGAGCCCGAGGGGCTGGTTCAGTTTGAGATATTGCCCGAGGGGCGAGCTTTTATATGCTCATCTTGCATGCTTATTTGCCTCTATACCTGTTATACCGTGGTATTTGTGGCCGAGGGGCGGATTTTCTGTGCGTATCAGCACTAACTGTTTTGAAATCGTTTTCGTAATCACTGAAAAGATCATTTTCAAAAGAGATTTGAACTGAGCCAAGGTATTGCTAAAGATTTCACAGATTTCACTGTTTTTCTCAGAAAATTGTACCCGGCTTCTGTATAGCATGTTGGTTGCTTTACGTGATTTCTTGCTGCTCAGTTATTATTTACTTTTATTACTCACTGAGTTGGAGTACTCACTTTACTCCCTGCACCTCGCGTGCAGATGCAAGTATTGTTCACCCGGTAGCGGGTTTTGAGCTGGTTGAAGGTATTGCTATCGTAGTTGAGCAGGGTGACCGCCAGCGTTCGCGGCACCGGATTACTTCCTTTGGTTCTAAATTTTATTCTGTATATTGTTGGCCCTGTAGTTGTATTTAGACTTCTCTAGATGCTCGTGACTTGTGACACCCCGGTCGGGCTGTGTTGGGTTGTAAACTTCGTTAATTAATGTCCTTACGTTGTATTTTTCTATTCATTTATGTTTAACTACTTTGAAAGGGACTAATTGGGTTAGTTAGATGGCCTTGTCTTCATGAGAGGCGCCATCACGACTAGTGCGGGGTTTTGGGTCGTGACAAAGGGTATGTTGGTGAAGTGTCCTCACCATGGCATTCCGGATCAGATGCTGGGACAGAGATTCTATATGGGTTTGGCTGACAGTCTGAAAGCCAATGTAGATGCTTCTGCCGCGGGTGCATTCTTGAGCAAAATCTTCACAGAGTGTAAGATTCTTCTTAACAAGATGTCTCAAAATTCAGGCTGGATGACGAGAGACACAACACTCACCCCAATAGTGCATTCTGTCGCTCTTGACCCAAACAACACAAATGCGGAAACCATTGCCACTCTTATGATCCAGATGAGCTTGCTGACAAAGAAAATCGATGAGATTGGTACAAAACAGCTGCACATTGTTGATACCACAAACGGAGGCTTATGTACTCCTTGCATAAACCAGTCATATGCATGCTCGTGGAGTGGAGAGAATGACAACCAGGGTTTCAGAGAAGACACGAATTATGTCAATAATTTTGGAGGTCAGAGGCAAGCTGTGAAGCAATGGGGACCAACATCAAACCAGCAGTATAGACCAAACCAGCCACAGCACATCCCCAATCCAGGAGGATCACGACTACAAGGCCAAGTCGTACCTTATCAAAGGCAGCAGGACTATAATTAGCAGCACCAGCAACAGTTGGCCTACCAACCACCTCATCAACAGCAGGACAATAACATGATCGAAATCAGGGGTATGCTGCAACAACTCATTGGGACAAATGGAAAGATGCAAGAGAAGTTAGCTGCACATGATTCAGCAATCAAAGGCATTGAAACTCAATTGGGACAGCTATCTATGGCCTCGAACAATCGCCAACAAGGAACATTGCCTGCAGATACAAACATTAATCCAAAGGAGCAGAACCCAAATCAGCTCATGGCAGTGAGTCTCAGGAATGGAAGAGATTTAGACAGGGAGTAAGAAGTTGCTCAATCTAGGAGACAGACAACGCCAACTACTCTAGTTACATTAGAGACAGATGAGTCAGCAGGGCTCACCGAGGTTGTAATCGAGCGGGAACAGGTTGACAAGTGTAAGGACAAGGAAGGTGAACAACTCCCATAACAGGTGGTAGAAAAAGCTCCCAGCACAGAAAAGACACAAAGCAGTGGGCAGAGGTTGACTCTTGCACCATTCCCTCAGAGGTTGGCAAAGCAAAAGAAAGATGATCAATACAGGAAATTCATGGAAATGCTCAGACAAATTCAATTGAATATTCCACTGATGGATGTTTTGAGGGAAATGCCAAGGTATGCAAAAATGATGAAGGACTGATGTCGTGAAAATTTGACTTCCAGGACCTGTCCACTGTAACTCCGACGCAGACCTGCAGCGCGGTAGTGACAAGGCCTATGGCTCAAAAGGTGTCTGATCCAGGTAGTTTCACTATCCCATGCACCATTGGGAGTTATGCTTTTGCTAAAGCATTGTATGACTTGGGCGCCAGTATAAACTTGATGCCCTGGGCAATCTATACAAAACTAGGCATTGGCAGAGCTAGACCGACCTCAATGTTGCTGCAACTGGATGATCGCACAGTCAACAGACCGACAAGAATTCTTGATGATGTGCTTGTTCAAGTGGGGAAATTTGTATTCCCTGCAGACTTCGTCATTCTTGATTGTCAAGTGGATGAAGAGATACTAATCATTCTGGGAAGACCGTATTTAGCCACTAGGAGAGCATTAATTGATTGTGAGACTGGAGAATTGAAAATGAGGTTGAACAATGAAGAGATAATATTCAATGTTTAACAATCTATGAGGAGACCCAGCGAATTTGCAAATTGCTCACTAGTGGAAGTTGTAGATGTAATACTACAAGAGGAGGATGAGACTATTAAAGTCAGGGATCCGTTAGAAGCCTGCTTGATGAATCTAGAAAATATGGATGGTAAGGAATTGGCAGAGTGGGTCATGGCTCTCGAAGGTCAAGGGTTCTGGAAAAGGCAACCCTAGTTCGAGCCCCTACACTTAGAAGAAAGAACAAGACCACCTGCGAAACCATCGATAGAGGAGCCACCACAGTTGGACCTGAAACCGCTTCCAGCTCACCTCGGGTACGCTTTCTTAGGGCCTAATTATACTTTACCTGTTATCATATCATCCGGTTTGCTAGCTGTGCAGGTAGAGCAACTCCTACAGGTGTTACAGGAATGTAAGACTGCTATTGGTTGGACCATGGAAGACATAAAGAGTACCAGCGCAGCTTTTTATATGCACAAGATTCTCTTGGAAGAAGGGCACAAACCTTCCAGAGAACATCAACGAAGTCTGAACCCGAATATGAAAGATACGGGTATCATCTTCCCCATCTCTGACAGCAATTGGGTCAGCCCTGTTCAGTGTGCGTCGACGGTCATAAAAAATGAGAATAACGAGTTGATCTCGACTCGTACAGTCACGTGGTGGCGGATTTGCATGGATTATCGGAAGTTGAACACAGCCACTAGGAAGAACCATTTCCCCTTGCCATTCATTGACCAAATTTTGGATAGGTTGGCTGGGCGATCTCATTTCTATTTCTTGGATGGATATTCGGGGTACAATCAGATCTCAATAGCCCCCGAAGACAGAGAGAAAACATCATTCACCTGTCCGTATGGCATCTTTGCTTTTCGGAGAATGCCTTTTGGACTTTGCAATGCACCGGCTACATTCCAGCGGTGTATGTTAGCCATTTTAACGGACATGGTTGAAGACATTATAAAGGTATTTAGGATGATTTCTCCGTGGTGGGGGATTCATTCAAGGATTGTCTTCACAATTTAAGAAGAGTGCTCAGAAGATGTGTGAAGACAAATTTAGTACTAAATTGGGAAAAGTGCCATTTTATGGTACAAGAAGGGATAGTCTTAGGGCATCGAGTGCCCAGTAAAGAAATTGAGGTTGACCATGCTAAGGTTGACGTGATTGAGAAGTTGCCACCGCCCACTTCGGTCAAGGCAGTGAAAAGTTTACTTGGACACGCCGGGTTCTACAGGCAATTCATAAAAGATTTCTCTAAGATTGCTAACCCTTTATGTAAACTCCTTGAAAAGGATCACCCCTTTGTGTTTTCTAGTGATTGCACGTTTGCATTTGAGGAGCTGAAGAAGAGATTGGTGAATCCACCCAACAAGGACTGATTGGGCAAAGAAGCTGGATGATGCATTATGGGCGTACCGCATAGCATTTAAAACTCCAATTGCTTTGTCACCATACAAGTTGGTGTTTGGGAAAGCATGCCACCTTACGGTATAGCTCGAGCATAAAGCCCTTTAGGCACTGCGGCAGATGAATTTGGATATGGAGACCACAGGCACCAGTAGAGTCACGGGGTTACATGAACTCGAGGAATTTAGGTTCCATACATTTGAGAATGCAAGATTGTACAAAGAAAGGATGAAAATGATGCATGATAAGCATATTCTAGATCGGAACTTCAAACCCGGAGATCTAGTGTTGTTATACAACTCGAGACTAAGATTGTTTTCGGGTAAATTGAAGTCCCGATGGTCAGGACCCTTCAGAGTGGTGCAAGTATTCTCAAGTGGAGCTGTAGAAATTGAATCCGAAGATGGAACGAATAAGTTCACAGTGAATGGGCAAAGGTTGAAACATTACCTTGGAATGGTCGAAGAAAAGGGGGATAGAGTGGTGATATCTTTGAAGAGCCCCAATACATAAGCGAAGAGTAATAATGAATGCCTACATTGTGCCGCGACGTTAAATCAGACGCTTTCTGGGAGGCAACCCATGGTTTGTTGTAAATCGTCGTGCGCGACGTTACGTTAGGCATTTTTTGGGAGGAAACCCATTATTTTTCTTTGTTCTTATTTTTGTGATTGATTTTTTTGACCGGTGACAATATTGATCAACCTACTAAGGTGCACGAATGAAAGTATGTGCAGCGGAAGGACTCGGGGTGACAAAATTATCCCGAAGAGAGGCAAAAGTGCGAAAAAGAGCAAAAAAAATGTTGAGGCCTCAATCTGCGGCCGCGGATTGTGCAGGGTGTTCTGTCCGCGGCCGCGGATCTGACTGCGGATCTAGCGCCGTTTAGGTTTGATTAGAATAAATTCTTGTGGGCTATGGGCGGAAATAGAAATAGGATCTCTTGACTTCGTAATGCCTTGAATAGAGCGGGTACTCTAGTGTGACGCTTAGGCTCAATTGTCGACTCTTGTAAGAATGCCTTAAATTGTATGTTCTTAATTTGGCTTAAGTACCATGATCTGAGTGCTTGATGACCAAATCTGGAGTAAGTCATGTGCCATGTGTGTGTGAGGCTTGTTGTATTCTGTGCACGACATTTGATGCCTAGAACTTGCCCCGTGTGTCTGCAAAGCGAAATAGTAGTCTTGTTTGGTCTAGGAAGTGATATAGGCATTTCTTTGTTGAACCATATATTTACTTTATCCACCCATCTGTTATGTATCGTAGTTAACCCCGTTGAGCCTGTAATGCTATTTTTTTTGGCAACCACACTATAAGCCTTACCCATTTATTTGAATTAACTATCTATTTGAACCTTTTAACCTCTCATGAGCACTTGAATAGTTATGAACCTTGTAAAAGTTAAAGTGTGGGGTGGTGGGTTTGGCTTTTGAGTGGAACTAATGTAATAAGGAGGAAGGTGCATTGTTTTGTAAAGTAAGAGCCACTTGAATTGGAAATAAATAAATAAATAAATAGTTGGATTGTTGTAAAAAATATTCCTTGCTAAGTGGTGGCTCTTGATGTAATTGTGCTTAAAGAAGAAGGGGGCTAATATACAGTGATGTGAAGGTGGAGTCATGGTTTGACATAAGTGTGGGGTTTTGAATGTTTAAGTATATGTATTAAAGTGCTTAGGGAGATGTAACCACTCGTATATCTAAATGTATCATACCCGTCCCGCAGCCTACATTACTACCAAATAATGCCCTACTTGATCCTAGACTGAATGAGCTCGAGTAGTAGAGTAGTACACTACGGGCAAGCCTATGGTGCATCTTTTATGGCATATGAATGTCATTTCTAAGGGTGAGTGAATTATGTTCATTTTGAAGTTCCTCAATGTGCGTGCACTTTATTGATTGTGGAATGAGTCTCTTTTGTTGTGAGCAGGCACTTGATTCATGAAGGAGAGGTAAGTTTGGACATCTGAGTTAGAGTAAGTAAGCCGGTTAGGAATATTGGGTGGCTCGCGGGAGTCAACTTTTGAGGTGTGGATGTTACACTAATGTAGCCAATCTATGAGGGATATTCTTGGTGTGACGAGATAGGGAAGTCACTTGGGGAAGTTAGGCCTCTGTAGAGTGTGGTTTGATTGCTCGAGGACGAGTAAAGGTTTAAGTATGGGGTGTTGATAGTAGGCTATAATTATGCAATTTAGATACTATTAACACTCTAATTTAGCCGCACTTTATCAATGTTTGAATGTTAAAAGATAACAAAATTCTCTAATTAAGAGTTTTATGCTTTGCAGGAGACACTCCGAGCTAGGAGGAAGCTAAAGAATGTTTTGGAGTCAATATGGAGCGTGGAAAGCCAATCGGAGGTTAGCACGTCGAAAAGGAGAAAGAAAAGCAAGTGGCGAAGTCCCCTCTAGGTGCGCGGCCGCGGATTGACCGTGCATTGGCCACGCACTGAGGTAGAGCACTGGGCGAAATCCGCAGTCAGATCCGCGGTCGCGGACGAGCTGACGAAAGCCAATAACCCAGGGGCAATTATGTAATTTCTAAGGTGACTAACCTAAACCTATATGAATCCTAATTCGCCCAGAAGAGAAATATAGCTATTTTTAGAGAGATTTTGGAGGCAAGAACACGGGAGGAAGACAGAGAATTTCCTTAAAGTTTTCATCTTCTTCTTCTTAATTCCATTATTAATTATGACTTTCTATAGTGAATTTTTATCTATTAGTATGAGTAGCTAAACCTGTTATCTAGGGTTGATGGAACCAATTGTTGGATGAAGTCTTGAATCTATTTTGAAATAATTGAGCCGTTTTTACTCTATGATTGCTCAACTATGGTTGTCTTGTGATTAATTAAAAGGGCCCTTGATTAATCGTGTCTAGTTATCTTGTGTTGCTTGAGAAAGAACACTTGGTTAGATTGTTGTTGAACAACATCACTTTCGGGTAAGTTAAAAGATTAATTACTTGAATCTGAAAGCACGGTTGGAGATAACGAAGCTTTGGTGGGATAATTCTGAGTTGCATAAATTGTTAACTAGAGTAGTTCGAGAGAATGCTTCTAGTAAATTATCGTAATTGATCGAGAGATAATTGCGGTAACCCAGAACTCAAACTCCTTATAGAGTGTTACGGCAAGATTATAGCTAACATGTCAGGAATTAATTCGACAATTGGGGAAATCAAAAACCCTAGACCATTTTACCATTGAATTCAACTCTATTCTTGATTATTGCTAGTTTTATTGTCATTTTTTCTTAGTTAACTAAATTCTACTCATTATCCATTAAAAGTCTTGCTTCCGGGAATTTTCTGAGCTTTTAGCAGTGTTAAAAGTTTTAGTAAATAGGTTAGTTCTCTGTGGGATTCGACTCCGGACTTGAACCAGATTATATTTGCAGCGACCGCGTAGTCCTTTTTACAAGGCAAAGTTGGGCATGATCAATGTCCCAAATATGAATTTTCTTTGCTTCCTCTAGGTAAAGTAAACGAGCAACTTCAAGAATCATCAGAATACGGCAGCCTATAGTATCACTAGATCCGGATGAAGTGGTAGACCTCTGACGTTTAGTTTGTAAAGATGCAATTACCTTATGCTGTATCAAAGTTCTCATGTTCCTCGTTAATCTTTGCTCCACTACACGGTTGATGGCTTCTTCAAGATTTGAATAACACCACTTTGTCGAATTTTTTAATTAAAAAATGTATATATACATGATAAGCAAAAAAGAAAATATGGGTTATGAACACTCTTTATTATTGCTGGACTTATGGGATGCCAGGATCTGGGCCTAAGAGGAAAGATTCATCATAATGGTAAAGATTCATCATATTTTTAAAATTATTTAACCTATACCCTAATTTTTACAACTTCAGACCCGTCGTTGCCTCCTCTTCTTCTCCTGCGAACTATGCGCTCCATACTTGGTCATTTTCATTTCTTGTCACAGGTTCAAGATAAAACTTGAAACATTCAAATCGTGATTCGTGGGTGAACCTCATCACCTATTCCTTCAGAGAAAGTGATGCTTGATGTTGTACCAAGAGGGTTTCTATCTCTTGCAAATAGTTGTAGACGTAGTCATAGCACTAGCCTTGAAGTTTTCATGTTTGCATCTGTAGATTCTCTTTCTCTTTTTCTTTTCCAGCAATGTTATTCTATTGTAAACAATTAGAAAGAGAGATATGAGATCTCCAGTTAAATTCTTTTACCATTTTCTTGTCTCATCAATTGTACAAATTTCCTTTGTCCCTGCTCTTGAAACTCTTGAAGGGTCGTTTGTTTGCAAATGGCAAAGAGGGATAATAATAAAGAAAATGAAGAACTTCATACAAACTTTTGATTTTGTCTAAAGTTTGCACTTCAAACTAAAGAACTTCAGACTAATTTGTCTGAAGTTTGCACTACAAACTAAAGAACATCAGACTAATTTGTCTGAAGTTTGCACTACAAACTAAAGAACTTCAGACTAATTTGTCTGAAGTTTGCACTACGAACTGAAAGTTTTTTTATTGCTTTTGCAAGTCAAACTTCAGATGAAAATATCTGAAGTTTTACTTTGATAAGGTCACACTTCAGGCAAAAAATTCTAAAGTTCAAACTTCAGACATAAATTCTTGCTACTTCAGGCCCCGTATGTCTGAAGTTATCCGGAAAGTGGGTACGCTTGCAATTTTTTTTTTGCAAAGCGTGTATAAGTTAAATGGTGACCCAAAAACTGGGTATAGATGCAAATGCCCCATCATAATGTTGTATTGTATTTATTTTATTTGTAGTTGGGCCTATTGTAATTACGGAAGTGGCCCATTATCTTTAGTAGTTAGGTTAGTTAGCTTTGTGTTGGTTACTTTGTAATTGGGTCGTATATAATAAGAGGGGTCAACCCGGATCAGACAATCGGGGTCATTTTTCTCTCATTCCAGTTCTAGAAAGATCTTTTACTCTCCATATCTCTCTCACACAAACCCTACCACTAATTCTCAAATCCCGATCAATCCTTGCTTGTTTCCATATTTTAGTAGTTTATTTATGTTCATTTATTTAAATATTAATATGGATTACAAAAAAAATCTTGCATACGCTACTGCTTCAACCGTAAGTATACCACCAGGATTGAAAGAAGGGAATGGTCTACGAGTGTTAATGTTTAAACCTCAAACATTCTGTTATAAACATACTTTAGACAGTAAACACGCATTCCGTATTGCCAACATGAGTTTTATCTCAACAATTTTGTTACTAATAGCATCGGTGGATCAATTGGCTTTTCGCTCTTTAGAAACTTATTTTTAGTTTTTTGACCCTATCTTTTTTTTTTTACACATGGGAGATTTTATTTTACACTTAAGAGATCTCTCTTTTACATAAAAGATCTTAAAAGGTTATTTTCTTAAATTCAAAACTGTAAAAGGGCATGGTATACAAATAGCATCGGTTTAAAAGGTAATCAAAAATCCACACAAACAAATTGAGCATGTAGCTAATTAGTTTGAGTTAAGGTGGTTG